ACATGATGTCCTATGACGAAATAGAGGTCATTTTCAAATTCAGCGCACCAAAAAACATAAAGATTACCTGGAATAACCAAAACAGCTGTCGAATTTTTTTTTTTTGCAGACTTGTGTATAATCACAGCGTATTACAAAGATTTAATCACACACAAAGATATCCATTTTCTGATCAAAGTAGGGTTGTTCTCCCCTATCCCACACCTAACACAGGGATATGGCAGAGAAGAACAACCCTACTTTCCTTATATTTTTCCTCATAGTTTTCATTCAGAATATTTTGAAGATAATTTGTTTAGGTTAGCCTTAACAATGATTTAATATATAGGAATCTCTCTACCATTCTGAAAGCAGTACAAAATAGAAAAGCAACTTTTGAGGGAGCAAATAGATTCTATTTTTTATTATTTTGAAAAAGAGATACAGTCCTATTATAAACATACTAACCTTTTACTCATCGAGGTTTCCTTATTAGGCAGTGTTTTTAACAAATTAGCCTGAGATGCTTAGTGGCCTTTATTAATAACATGTTATAGAATAAATGTTTTTGCAAAGAGTTAATAAAACATTTAATTATTTTTACTTCTGTTCAATAATTTAACCCGTGCTATTTCATTCATGAAGGTTAAAAAATCAGGAATTGGTGTTATTGGAACTGGGAAAGGAGGAGAACTGGCTTTGTCAATGATCACCTTCCTTCCAGAAGTAGTGGCTGCTGTTTGCATTTCTGGCTGCAGCTCCATCACCGCCACTGCGCTTCATTATGGAAAACAGAGCCTGCCTGGGCTTTGCTTTAATATGAGCAGGATTAAGATTTTGGACAATGGAATATTTGATATTTACGAAGCTTTGGATGACCCAAGGGATCCAGCCAATTCACACTCCAGGATACCCATTGAAAAGGCAGAAGGCCATTTCCTTTTTGTGGTTGGAGAAGATGATCACAATTGGAAGAGCTCTTTGTATGCTGAAATAGCTACTACATGCCTACACCAGCATAAGAAGGCCAATTTTAATCTCTTGAGTTACCCTGGAGCAGGCCATCGAATTAATCCATCTTTTTCTCCTGTTTGCCTGGTAGCTTTAGACCGTGTTCTAGGGGTGCCTATTCTGAGTGGTGGAGAGTACAAAGCTCACGCCCATGCGCAGGAACATTCCTGGGGAAAGATTCTCGAGTTCTTGAATTTGCACTTGAAATGAGACAAGCAGGCTGATAGTTGAACAATGGAAATAAATTGAGAGAAAAAAATTCCAAAGAAGATGAAGAAATAGTCAGGAACTGAGCAAGAAGGATGGGCAGAAATAACATTAAAATATATGCTTCGGATTATATTATGAACAGGTAATAAAATAAGGTTAGTTCAGATGGAGTGGCCAAAAGTATATTATTTAAAAATGTAATTTAGAGTACTACAGTGAAGAATGATTTTGTTTATAGTGTTACAAATGTCAGTTAACTCCTAAAACACTGCAACAAATCATAGACAGCCAGCAGCACCAAGTGTAGCTTCTGCCATTTTGAAATCATATATCCAAAATATAACTATTTCCTGCCTTCTGGCAATTTTTTGGTTTTGGACTATACCTTCAGCACACATAGCAAGTACCGTATTGTTACTTGAATAGAGAACACACATGAGAGGTTGATATTATAATTTACAATGATAAATGAAGTTGCCTGCAACGTCATTAGCCAATTTAATATGAAAGAGGACTGGTTTTCTTCAGCTGCTAATCACATTATACTGGCTTTTACAACACAGATACCTCTTTGTCAGACACGCAAGAGACATTATAGCTTAGGTGTAAATCCAGCAAAAATCAATCTTGCCAAAAGTGCCAAAATCTTTAGTTGGAATTAGATTTTTTTTAAAAACAACAAAATAATACAAAGCATAGTACAGTTTCAAATTTTACTAACACTGGAATTTTTAGTTTTAACTAAAATGTACTTCTACAATATAAGAACTATCCCATTAAAATGTTTAAAGCGTCTCAGTTTTTATGGCTTGTTTATTGTAGGAGAGTTCTATCACCAATCACTATAGTGACAAAAACTATATATTTTATCTGTTCTGCATATTGGTACCTAAATTGACATTTATAATGGTTCTAAGAATAAATTGTC